ATTACTTTATTATTAAAAAAAAAAAAAAAACTCTCAATTTGCTCTTCCTTTCTACTTCCTCATGATGCAATTTTCTAAAACCCCACTTCAACTCCTGCATCAAATTGCTCTGTTTTCTTCGAGTTCTTACATGAACAAGAACCAGGCTCCCCGGGATCGGCCGTGGCCGGAATTCCCTACCTCGAAGGGTTTAGGGAGCTTTGGGGATGCTAATTGTATGGAACAGCTTCTGGTTCACTGCGCCAACGCGATAGAGAGCAACGACGCCACGCTGGCTCAACAAATCCTCTGGGTCCTTAACAACATTGCACCGCCGGACGGGGACTCCAATCAGCGCCTCACGTGCGCTTTTCTCCGAGCACTCATAGTCCGTGCTGCGAAGAGCGGAACGTGCAAGTTACTCGCCGCAATGGCAAACGCCCGCTGCAACCTTGCCATAGAAAATCACAAATTTTCCGTTGTTGAGCTCGCTAGCTTCGTCGACTTGACCCCCTGGCATCGGTTCGGGTTCACCGCCGCAAATGCTGCGATTCTAGAAGCGGTGGAAGGGTATTCCGTTATTCACATCGTTGATTTCAGTCTGACACATTGCATGCAAATCCCTACACTGATTGATGCAATTGCAAATCGAGTAGAGGGACCGCCATTACTGAAGCTAACAGTGGCGGGCGCTACCGAAGATATCCCGCCTATGCTCGATCTTTCATATGAAGAATTAGGTGCTAAGTTGGTTAACTTCGCTAGGTACCGTAACATCATGTTGGAATTCAGAGTAATTCCTTCGAGTTACACAGATGGATTCGCCTCCTTCATCGAGCAGCTTCGGGTGCAACATTTAGTTCAAGCGGAAAGTGGTGAAGCTTTAGTCATAAACTGCCACATGATGCTCCATTGCATACCGGAAGAAACACTTTCTCCTCTTCCTGAAGTGCCAGATTCAAACTCATGCCCTTACGAGCCGTCTACCTTGTCTAGTCTTAGAACAATGTTTCTCAAGGCACTCCGGGGATTGGATCCGACCATTGTTGTGTTGGTGGATGAGGATGCAGATTTGACATCAAACAATTTGGTATGTAGGCTAAGATCTGCATTCAATTACTTATGGATACCTTATGATACTGTGGATACGTTTCTTCGACAAGGGAGCAAGCAAAGGCAGTGGTACGAGGCTGATATTTGTTGGAAGATTGAGAATGTGATAGCATATGAAGGGCTGCAGAGAGTGGAGAGGCTGGAGCCAAAAGGCCGGTGGGTGCAGCGGATGAGGGATGCTGGTTTTAGGGGGCTGGAGCTTGGGGAAGAAGTGGTGTCAGAGGTGAGAGGTATGCTTGATGAGCATGCAGCTGGGTGGGGAGTGAAGAAGGAAGAGGAAGATCATCTTGTGCTTACATGGAAAGGACACAATGTTGTATTTGCTACTGCTTGGGCTCCTGCTTGAGGCTTTAGTACACTACTCCGAACATTCTTTTGGGGTATGATTATCTCTAGTTCATGACTTAGTGATGTATTCAATATTTCTCTTTGACTATAAGTGATATATATATTCAATATTTCTCTGAGTATATTTTAGAGTCTAGGGTAGATCAAAGCTAATTGTAATGTTTGAAGGATGTCACTAAGAGAAAGGACACAATGTTGTATTTGCTACTGCTTGAGGCTTGAGGCTTGAGGCTTTAGCACACTACTCCAAACAATTTTTTTGGGGTATTAGTTATCGCTAGTTCATGACTTACCGATATGTTAAATGTTTCTCTTTTACTATATTTTAGGGTCTAGATCAAAGCTAATTGTACTGTTATGTGTAGTATCATTATAACCTAATGCAGATGAGTACATTCCAATATATGTGTCTTTGTGCCATGTCACAGTAAAGTTGGTTTCTCCCCGTATGTGTGTGTGCACTTCTGGAAAATAGAGGTGGCTTTAATAAAACATAATTACATACATACAGTTTCCACCACTACTAAGCCATAGCTTGAAGGAACTATATGTAAATTATGCCATTAAGAGTGCATGATTATTAATACATGGGGGAAAAGAAACAGGAAAAGAAACGATTCTATATTCACTACATCAAATTTCCAAAATGAAGGATTGAGGTAGCTTATATATATATAGATTTTTGGGTTTTCTTAGGAGTAACATTAACAAAGCCTGCTCAAATTGTTTGGGAATCCTAGAGAGGTTAGGTTAGTGATTCTTAAAGTAATATCACTAGTTTATATAAAAAACGTAATCACATGAGGGGATGTAGCTCAAATGGTAGAGCGCTCGCTTTGCATGCGAGAGGCACGGGGTTCGATCCCCCGCATCTCCAGTTTGTGAAATATTGTTCTTTTTCTCACCCTTTCAGTCGATCTTTTTGATGCAACTGCAACACGTACGGTAGAATTCACTCTTCTAGACCCAAACATAAACTTTCTCGCTCAATCTGTTCTGCAGTTCAAGAGGATTTTCTTAATTAGTTGGTAATTTGCATGAAAATCAGAATACCTGAATACATATCCCCTTTGACTCTATCCCCTTTCAATATCCATGTTTTTACAGTGTCATCATCCACTGTTAAAATCTAGATTCAGGATTTCATGCAGAACTTCAGGAGAGGATATGTGTGTTCAATCTGTACAAAAGCATGTTAGAAACCTTCCATCATCTTTCTACGGTAGAAAAATATATCCAGAGACACTCCTTCCTTAAGTCTTTCTTCAGCTCATTGCATTTTTTTCACCTACTCACGGCCCCTTTTTCTTCTAAAATGTTTGCGTCAATTAAAATATTAGAAGTGTGACGTGCAATTCGTCTTATACAAACTGTGTACTTCATAATTATTGATGAAGAATAAATCCAATAATATTAAGATGTCTTTGTTTGTCAATAATGATAAAATATATAGTTGGATTAAGGCAAACTTGCAAAATAGCAATATCAATCAACCATCCATTTACCCTAAAACATGTGAAAAGGTGTGAAAATAAGTAAACTCTAAATCCATAAGAAATTCATAATCTTAAACTCTAAATCAAATTTTTACAATTAATAAATAATATTGTTTTATAGTTTAGACATATTTAAATGAAAATTGTTGAATGAGGGGAGACTTGTTACTATCAAAAAATTTGTCTTATTTGATAATTTAAATTTAAATTTTTTTGTATGTACCTTTAAAATATAAGTTAAAAAAATATTTATTATATTTTTTTAATACATTTTTATAAACAAATAAATAAATAAACATTATAATTTTAATGTTTACCTCACGTGAATAAATTTAATTTGATAATAAATAAAGTTAATTTTTATTTTTTTTATATGAATTAATTAAAAAAATATGTAATTAATATATTTTAATATGTAGTGCTTTAAAAGTAATAAATTTAAAAAAATTAACTTTTCTTTTCTTTAATTAATTAATTAATCTGCCATTGTTTTGTTTGGGCATTGTTATTGGACATTTGAGAATTCCATTTTTTTGAAAAAGAGTCAAGATTCAATCACATTTGCGGAAGTTCTACATAAGTTGTCGAAGTTATTTCTACAATTTTTCAATCATTGGATTTGTAAAATCAACCCATGTTAAGAGGCTTACTTATGCAAGTCACCCCAGTGAATGTAATAAAAGTGAATCCTGACATCAATTCCCGTCGCAAACTTTGACTTTCATAAGAAAAAGGAAACAATGTACCGAAAAGTGAAGTTTAGATCCGAGTACCCGCCCCGACATCCTGGCACCCAGTTGCATGCTTTGACTTTTCAAAGCTAAATGACGGCTGACCAAATAAATATTGCCACTAGTACTTCGTCCCTGGAAGCAGCAAAAATTGAATTGAGATGACAATGGATAGGGAAGGAAGGAGTGAAGGACTACAATATAATTGCATGTAATATTTTAAAATGTATAATTAAAATATAGTATTAATTATAAAAGAAAAGATATATATTAGTTTTGAATTTTTT